GGATAAGGTTTATAAATGAATTAAAACATCATTTCAAATGATTGATCATTTTCCATTCTATAAAAGATATCCCATCTACCAACTTTTTTCCTATTTTTATATTCCCCATTATAAGTCACTTAACTATACCTATTTATGAAAATCATAATAAAAATATAGACTTAAAAAATCTATCACCCAATTCAATCCACTTCCCTTGTTTTTAATTTCCTCCTTTTTTACATTCGTCTATTTACATATAAGATCCGCCACCGCTATTAAAGAGATATGGTAAATAATATAATTAATTACATCTAAACAATTCTTTTACTATAATTATCTCTATAAAAAATATCCCAAATACCAACCTTTTTACTATTTTTATATTCACCATGATAAATGACTTAACCATAACTATTATTAATATTTTTAATAAATAATACTCCCAAAAATTATCCCCTAACTCAATCCATTTTCCTTTCTTTTAACCTTACTCATTATAATATCCGCCACCACTTTAATATTCATATAGAATTATAATACATTTCCTTATCCTTTTGAAAGTATTTCCATTCTCCTACTCTCATATCATTTAAATAAACTCCAACAACAAACACTTCTGAATATCTATTAAAATTATCAGTTTTAAGTGATACTTGTGATAATTTTTAAATAATTCTTTCCATTTACCTTATTTTTTTCCATCATTGTACTCTCCTCCAACACCTTCAAGGACTTCATCTTCCCAAGTCACTGCCCATTTGCCATTTTTTTTTATATTATTATCATATTAACCTTACCATTCCATATATTGTATTTAATCCCAATTCATTAATATAAATGGCTTTTGATTAATGTTTTCTACTTATTCACTGTGTGTTTTTATTATTATATTAAATTTTTACGTTCTCATTATTTATCCATCAATTGTTATGTATTGGATTTCAAAACCTTTACTATATTGGATGTAGAATATTCTCTTTATTAAATCCCATTTATTTCCACATTTCCAACAATAAGCTTCGTGTTATTCTCTTTATTCTGCCCATTCTAATTCACCTTTTTTTTCTATTTCTTATTTATTTCTAAATTTAAGATTTACTAATACATCAAGGTTGATGCTAACTATCCCTCCCATTATTCTTTACATTAAGATTTGCCCATCTTTTCTGGGAGTTAACCCATATTACTTAAAATAATAATAATTATTTAATTTTTATTTTTCAACTAAAATATCTCCTTTAAACATACTCTCAAAATTTTTTTATTTAAGTTTTATTTTTGCTTTCTAGGCTTCATCACTTAGAATAAGTATTTTAAAAGCTCTTTATTTTATAATCTATAGTTGTGCAATTACAAATAATTAACATTTAAAAGCGTTTTTAATTCAATTCACTCTTATGATAGTTTAATTTTATATTCACGATTGGAAACCTTAAATATAAATTTATTACATGATAAATCAAGAGTATGAACCATAATCCAGCCATCAAAAATTAAATTGCAAAGTTCTCTCTGTCAAAATTCAGGAGAAAATCAACCTCAATTAGTATGAAACACTTCTATAAGAATAGCAAATTTTCTTATAATCCCTATAACATCTATGGAAAATTTTATAAAATGCATTTATTTGGAATACATTTCCAAATTTATTTATCATCATTTATTTTCATCGATAATTTAGGTATTAGAAGTGATTATATTCAAACCACAGTATTTATTTATCAAAACCAAGTTGTAAAAACTTTAGTATTTTTATATCATCAATTAAGTTTCCCAGGATGAGAATCCCTTAATAAATACTTGTCAATAGTAATAATTTAATTACAGAAGGAATCCAAGCAAATAAAAGCCCATTAATATAAATAAGTGGATAGTTTATTTTTCCTAACAACATTCCTTATTTTATGTAAACTATATTCGACTCGATTTAATGGCGGATTAGCCTTATTATCTGTGTAGATTCATTAATTTTTTGTTATATATTTCTATTAAATTTTGCTTGGCTCTATAGATGAAACACTTTTAAATCATAAGATAATAAATAAATAATTAAGATAAATGCAGATGAATATTTTGAATTCCTAAGTCTCTTTATTCTTTGTTTAAATTAGTAAACAAATGAAATACTAGCTAAAATAATATTAATTTTCATATGGCATTACTTAAATTAAGTATTTTTGTGGTTAATTGTAAAAATAGAAATTTTAGACTTATTCAAAATCCAAAAATGATAGAAATATATATACTTATTGAATTCAAAATACTTACTAATTTATTTATTTATTAAAGCTTATTGACATCGAACTACTAACCTTCTGATATTCATAATAGTCAGAAAACCTACAAATGATCCACCATCTTTTTTTTATGGTTGCTTATTACTAAGGGTTCTCAAGGAATTAGATTGAATTTGTTCGAATCAATAGAAACGGTCTCCATAATATAGTTCTAACAGAACATCTAATTACTAGTTAATTTAAGCATGTATTATTATAATTACTAGTAATTTTTTTGTCATCATATTTAAGGAAAAATCCTTTGTTCAATCAATTTCTTATTTATAAAGATTCAGTGTGATTGTAAGTAATGAATTAATTAAAATAATAGCAATAGCAAGAATGATGGAACAAATTGAATAAATGATTTAGGTGAAATATTACAATAGGTTGAAGTAAAAAAATGTATAATAAACAGATCAATCCTTGTCTACTATTTATAACAATTATTAGAGTAATATAATTAGTAAGCTAAAGATTACTTTTATGATAAACAAGACAGAAATGAGAAATGAAAGTAAAATTTGAACTAAATTTAATAAACAATTAATCATTTTGTTATTTTGATGTATTTAATCTAAAAATAACAAGAATTAGTTTGATTTACGAAGCCTTTTCTAATTCAGAATAGATATTAATTTTCATTTTATATAAATCAAGAATATTTTTCTGAATAAATTATGCAGTCGTAACAATTTTTTAAAGTAACAATAATTATTGTAATCCCTCTAATGAGATATTACATTAGTTGTATAAATTGTGATCTGGAACAAAAAAATTTGATTCAATAAAATAAGCCTTAAATTAAATGAATCGATTCCTAATTATGTAAATTTTCACAATTAAGTAATTTATTAATTCTAAGATTATTCCTCAAATACCTACTAAGAAACTAGAAAAGATCTAATTTAAAAAATTTCAAAAGATAAAGATAATAAGATTGTTTAATTGTTAAAATTTTTAGTTCACCTTACAGCTATTGATAACTATTTCATATAAAGTGGCTCAAACTCCTTAAATATATTAATTTAAATGAAGGTAGATTTGAGGAATCAATCTTTTGAAAAAATCAGGATAAAAAATACTTCTTTAGTAGGTGGAACTTTTGTTAAGTGCAATCTTAATGAATCAGAATTCAACAATGTAGATATAAGTGGAGTTAATTTGAATGGGGCTCTTCTCTTTAACTGTAGATGGAAGAATATTAAAATCGAGGAATTAAATAAATTAGAAGGTCATAGTTATGGAGTCTACTCAGTATGCTTTTCTCCTGACGGCACTACTATATTAGCATCTGGCAATTACGATAACCATATTTATTTATGGGATGTCAAGATAGGATAATAAAAAGCCAGTTTGAATGGTCACAGTGAATGGGTTTCATCCGTCTGCTTCTCTTCTGAAGGTTCTACAATAGCATCTGGTAGTGGTGATGATTCTATCTGTTTATGGGATGTTAAGACAAGATAATTAAAAGCCAAATTGGATGGTCATAGTGATATTGTTCGATCAGTATGCTTTTCTCCTGATGGATTTACATTAGCATCTAGTAGTTGCGAGAAGACGATCCGCTTATGGGATTTTAAGACAGGGTAATAAAAAGCCAAATTAAATGGTAGTACTGAATGCCCATTTTAAGTCTTTCAATCAATTGTATTTTAAGATTGTTTAATTTACCAGATACTCTAGCTGTTAATATGTCTCTCTAATTCGACTTATGTTAAAACAAAATAGATAATCATTCCAAATACTATACTCCTCTACTATCTATTTAAAACTTCAATATTGAAATATAATCTACTCATTAGATGCTACAATAACTAATGCTCCCAACACTAATTTAGTTTTAGGCGTGATGTATTAATAAGGTCAAATAATTTAATTTTGTTTGTAAATTACTTAATTTGAAGTCATTAAATTCTAAATAACAGCACAACTTAAAAATGGACCAGAAAATCAAAAATATGAAAAATTTAGTTTATTTAGTTAATTAAAATAGTATAATTGTTGTAATTTATAAAATTAATTTTCCGCTTTTCTCGACATGAGGAAGTATTAGAAAGAGTTTCAATAATTTTATAATTTAAATCTTTTCATAACTAATTTTTGTGAAATGCAGACTTTAAATTTTGAATAATGGACAAAATAAGTCTCTCTATTGCTTCCCTTGATTTTACCCAAAAATAAATTAATATCTGATGACTAGGGTAACTAATTTTTGTAAACATGCTTTTTTAACAGGTGTCATAATTTTTCTATAGGATTTAATTAAGGTGAAAACATGCACTCAGCAGCTTTTTTTTATATTTTTTTACTTTTGTATATGGGAGTAATTTAAGATCAACACAAATTCTCAAGCCTCATACTGTTATTTTAATGTTTTATAGATAATTCATCAGTCAACCCCCACATTTTTCTATCGGTTAGGCTAGCCTTAGTATTTTCTGAAAAAATTAACAATTAATTGAATTCTAATATAATTTAAATCAGTTCTATGCAAAATCAAATACAGATACTTATTTTCTATCAAATATGAATTCCAATTCTAATTCTTATCTTTAGACTCTATACCTTAAAAATGTGGGCAGGTTAGCAAGTATTTTTATCTATAAATATATATAAAATTGCTTTATAAATAATCATAGAAAATTACATTAATGAACTTCATTGTATAATCCAGAATAGTAATAACTATAATAAATGGGTAAAATAGGATTCAAGAAAGCACGTTTCAATGACATTCTGAGCGCACTCTAAAATAAGCTACTGCTATTTTAGGTCAGATATTCCATAATAGTCTGTTTTAGGATCATTTGATTATATGCCTATCTTTAAGTATTAACTAAAATAGTTTCCATCAATTCATCTCCAATTTCTTAACTTACAAGAAATTATTTTGTAGTTCCCTTTTCTATTGGATGTGCTGAAAAAATTCAAGACTGTTTTCTATATCATATTTATAATTGGCTTCTGATATACTTTCATCTTTCTTAGAAGACTCCTCTAAGAACGATTAGATTTTGACTTAATGAAAACTTCTCCTTCTTCTGAAAGTAATGACAAATCTTCAAGGATCTTTTATTTTAACACTCATCATCATCCTTCTCTTGTTTATCATCTGGATTAAGAAAGAGAGTTAAGCTCGAAGAAGTTCTTGATTCTTTACTAATTTTAAATAACTTAATAAAATTAATCTCTGGCCATTTTCATTCACCTCTTACACTTATTCATTAGTTATCTCATGTTATTTCACATGCTTATGTTTAAATCTGGGGGTTGAATTTTAGGGGGGCAAATTTTTCATTATCTTAATAAAAGGCGATAATGTCTAATTAAGAAAGTAAATAAAGTCATCTGATTATTTAATATTAATTATAAAACTTATTTATTATGTCTACATTCATATTATGTAATAATATTATGAAATTATCAATTCAATGAAAACCTTGTTATCAATTCTATTGTATTTTATTTTTAAAACTATGTAATTACGTATATGATTAATATTCCTAATATTTGATTATTAAATTTTTTATAAGGCAATAATAGTAATGATAATAAGTCAAAAATATCTAACTATGTTTCCTTTTACTTTTATATGGCAAAAAGAGGGATCAATGAAAATTGTTAATATTTAATAAAATACATTTGATTAAGTAATAATTATAAATTGGCTAAATGACTATTTATAAAAATCTACATAATATATGTAGATACAAATTTTAGAATTTTCTCAAAATTTATTATTATTATTAATAATTATAATATATATGTATGTGATCAATTAAATAATTTTTTTTCAATATAATTTATACATTCATTCCTTGTTGATTACATTTTACTATTATGTAAGTATTATTCTACATTTTAAGAGTATTCCCCAAATAACTTTGTGTAAAAAAATAGAAATGTAAATAATTATATTTTAGTGTTTTCATATTCTAATATAATTTAATATAAATATTCTTTAATTCGTTAAATATATTACATTTAATAAATGACAAACTTAAATGCTTGGCCAGGTACAATATTAAACTGAATAGTCAAAGTGATTATTAAAATATCCATGAATTCCAGATCATTCATATTAAAATATAATTCTCATTAATTCTTAACTCCTAAAATTTATTGAAATTATCAAAATTGTTTTTCTAGAATTTTTTTTTTCTCTTTATTTAAAGATTTCGAAATCCTTCATTTCGACTTTATTTACATTTCCAACTTTCAACTAAATTGTTATATCATTATATTCTTTAAGAGGATAAATTGTAATTTATATACAGAAGTCTATTTAGTAGTGACTTATTAAAAATCAAATAATTAGCTTCTTGTCTATTTCAATAATTATAAATATTCTATTTAATCTTGAGTGATTTATTTATTACATTAAAGATATTATATATTTTAATAAAATATTTATATATATTAATAATAATTATTATTAGAAAAAATATTCCATAATTAAAGTTATTTTACAATTCATCATTCATCATTCATCATTCTCACTTCTTTATTTAGCCTATTGGTTAGCTACATGTGTTGTTAGTAATGCAAGGTCTAATATATAGGATATTAATTATATCCACTACTTCTGGTTATATGGAGCAATAGTTAAATTATTCCTCCTACTAATATTCGGCAAGACATCAACAAATATCTAATGCTTGTATAGGATATGTAATGATCATGGTACTTTCATAACAGTATTCAATCATAATAATTGTAATGAATGATGGGATTAGTGCTCAGTATCAGGTTCTACTAGTACAATGTAGACATGTTAAAAGTATTCAATTACAGTTATTAATGAAGGAATCATTTATTTTTTTTTAAGAAGATTAGATTAATTTAATAAGCAATATGAACCACATAAAACAAAATACCAATCACATTCTTTGAAAATAGCAATAATTATTGGAATGGAAATAAAAATGCCATATTTCCATCAAAATTGATCTAAAAACAAAAATGACAAAAAAAAGATTCGATAAGAATAGTTATAGTCTAGATTTGGAGTTACCTATCTCGGAAATGAGAAAGCTTTTTTCTATTTTATAGATG